TGGTTGTTGGTTGCAACCAACGAGCGCTCTTCAGGTTGCCGTCTGATGGCCACCTGAAGCGGTTGCCCGCCAATTTGTTTAGGCTACGAGTATTCCCTCAGTTTCCCACCATTTTTTCGACACAAATTCCATCGGAAAAAAATCAGTAAGCCACCGGAATTTCATCAATAATCCATCAGTATTTCGAGAGGCTTATCTTTACATGCTTTGGTTGTCATAGTAAAGTTATATTAGTAAGGCTGCCACTGTTCACATTGCACGTCAGCAGCAGCAAGTTGAAGGGACGGCAGTTTATTTGTTATTCAATTTTGGTTATCGGTTTAGGTTATTGATATATCAATTTAATAAAATATTATCAGTTTAGTATGTGATAAATTTCGGATATTTTGGTGCTCATGTTAAAGAGCCTTATTTACCGATCTGTTTATAATGAATACTTGAATAAATTCAAGGTGGAAACCATCCACAATGAAGAGAAGGGTGCAAATTTTCCTTAGGATAACTGTTGATCTGAGTGTTGATGATAACTGAACTAAGTGTTGATCAATTAGTGAAGGTCCAGCTACTTAGTGAGGGTCCAGCTACTTAGTGAGGGTCCCGCTACTTAGTGAGGGTCCAGCTACTTAGCGAAGGTCCCGCTACTTAGTGAGGGTCCAGCTACTTAGTGAGGGTCCAGCTACTTAGTGAGGGTCCCGCTACTTAGTGAGGGTCCAGCTACTTAGTGAAGGTCCAGCTACTTAGTGAGGGTCCCGCTACTTAGTGCAGGAATGAGGCAGTCAGCGTGAAGGGCGAGAGGCGAACGCTAAATCACTTCCTGAAATATGGGCCACGGCGCATACACACAGAAAAATGTGTCATTTTGTCCAAGTAGTGACACTTTTGCTCGTAGTGACCGTAGTGGCCAAATAGTGACCGATTTGCTCTTTTGCCAGACCAAAGTGGGTCAGAATGACCCGGTGTACAGAGCTGTGAACAATTCTTCATGGCGCCAATTTCACAGGCACTCCCGTTTAGCTGCTAATAAAAATAATTCGTTATTTTAATTATAATTAATAATAATTCATTATTATTAATCATGATAATTCATTATTCTAATTAGAATTAATAATAATTAATTATCTTTATTATTCAGTATAGTAATTCATTATTCAAAGTGGAATTAATGATAATTAATTATTATTCCTTATAATAATTCATTATTCTAATTTAAAATTGATTTATTATGTAAAGCTAATAAGATTGCTTGTGCTATAGAATTCCTAGATGTCCTAGAGATCACTAAATGTGCTAGTGCTCGAAATTAACAGAGTACATAATATACGTTTAGGAAATACACGTAGAGAATAATTGTTCAATATTCTTGCTGGCTTTTGTACATATGCTGTTTTTGTTGGCTTTTGTTTTTGTTAATGATTCTCTTCCTGTACGAATGTTAAATTAAGTTTTTTAATTTTATAAATAATAAAGCTTAGTTTTAAGTATATGTGTATGCAATACATATATACACATAACTGTGAACTGTCGTTATTTGGGCCCAACCGAGTGACCTTGTATGGTCCATACATCGCTCAGCGCTGCCCTGTGTACACACATACACACACACATACACACGCACACAGCTGTGTACGTCTGCTGCACAGCTGCTACGTGGCCTTGGTGTTGCTGTCACGTCCCCTCGGGGGAGGGGGGCAGAGTTGACCCCCACGAGGGGATTGATCCCCCGATGATGGGGGTAGCACTCCCCGGACGCTACGAAGATCCCCATGTATGATGGGAGGACATGGGGTTGTGGGGAGCAGGTTGGGGGAGGGGGTTAAAGTTCTCCGTGTGGGGATATGTAAGGGTTGATATGCAAGGACTCGAAGTAAGGACACTTGGAGTATCCTTGAAGGGCGGTTGAAGGGGTTTAAATACCTTTGTATAGAGCAGGTAAAGGGGTTTAAATATCTTTGAATAGGGCAGGTAAAGGGGTTTAAATATCTTTGAATTTAAATAGGACAGGTAAAGGGGTTTAAACATAAATTGTTTGAATGACTCCCGGAACATGAAAATAGATAGAGTGATATATAAAGTTGCACTAACATGTTTACAGCAGTCCTCTAGTACTACTCACCAGAACCATATTGCTGTGTGCTGTTTCAATTAGTTGTAACTAATGCCAATTGTAATGCTGTTGATCAAAAAATTAATTCTGAGCTTACCTTGATTTGTTTTTGTATAAAATTTATTAATTCGAGGCTACGTTTGAAGTATCAGTCTGCATGAGGGCGAGCGGACTCATTAAAATGACTAGTTGGCAGCCTTGTGAGCGCAGTGTTGCCAAATGCAGGGCAGGGTTTGGCACGATTTGTTGTCACCGGCCGGCCGGCAACACTGGAGGCGGACATTTGGCACAATGTTTAAATACATTTGGCACCAACGGGCGCAAACAACGTATTTCAGGCAACACTGATACAGTTAAACGGGGATTACGGAGACAGTGCTTCTGGCAACCCAAGTTATAAAGAACGTACTTCCGGCAACACCGATGCTGTCAACAGGGTTTACGGAGATCGTGCTTCTGGCAACGAAAGTTGCGAAGAGCGTACTGCCGGCAACTCTGGTTATGAAAACTTCTCCGAACATTACGAAACACGTTCATATGGCATAACCAGTGTTGCCAGCAGTACGTCATTCGTACCCACAGTTGCCAGCAATGCGTCATTCGTATCCAGTGTTGCCAGTAATATGTTCTTCGAACCAAGTGTTGCCAGATGTAAGAACATCTGGCAACACTTGATTTTAAAATCGTAGAGCCGGAATCTACTAAGATGTTCAAACATCTGGCAACAAAAGCTACCTCGAAACGTACCTTTGGCACCTCGTAGAACCCCTACTATGCACGTCTGGCAACAATGCTGTAAAAGAACGCGCCTCTGGCAACACATATTCTCACACACATTATCATTTCACTGTTCTGCAGAACACATATTATCATATAATATAAACTTGTATTTATTTATTCAAATTGAGTGCGCGATGTGTCATGCTGATATTCTCTGAAAACGTTGGAATTATTCGTAAACACTGAAGTTTTAAATCAAATCTTTGAACCAAAAATGGAAAGGAACTTCCGCCGATCCTGCCAAATTGTAGGATTTAAATTTTGCTGAAGCTCGAGTGAGAATTCATCGAACTGGGATACGCGTTGGCAGCTGGTGGAATAATTGTTAAAATTTTGAATAACTGTTGAAATTAGGCATCATTCGAAAAGATGGTCCGAATATGCAGTACAGTTATATGCAGTACTGTAAAGACGGTACAGTTGTAATTTATAGTAATGTAGTTTACAGTAATTTAGTTTACAGTAATTTAGTTTACAGTACTGTAGTTTACAGTACTGTAGTTTACAGCACTGTAGTTTACAGTAATTTAGTTTACAGTACTGGTAATAATGGTGATGTAATATTCGAATCATGTTCTTCATGATAGAAGCAAATATTATTCACTGCCAATTAGAAAATTGCCTGTCACTTTAGCCATATTTTCACCAGTTTCGTAATTGCGTCCATCATGACAGTTTAGTGGAATTTCTGCAATAACTTATCGTAAGGAAGAAAATAATGTACCCTATCTGAGAATTTCATGCTATTTGAAATCTCATTATCGCATTCAGAGTTGATAGATGTTTTAAAATTTATTGTCATGGTTATTGGTATCTTATTGAACATTGTAGAATTGTTTTTCTCCGACATGTAATTTTTATTTCGAAATTAATAAATTTATTGCAAATTCTTGATCGTTCCGTCTTATTGATAATATACGGACAATTTCAGTACATGATCCTGCGTTGCTGTTTCATCCAACATCTTTTAACTTTTTGTAACTTTATATAAAATCATGTACGAAACAAAGCTGGCCTCCAATCCGCCGACGATAATACGTCATTGCTTGCTTATGGCAGAAATTACTTTTGCCGTGACCATCCCTCCCCCCCCCAGGACGAGGGGGATGTGGGGTAGAACTCTGAAGTAGACGTTGCTATGGGTAGATGAGGTAGATGAGGGGAGAGGGTGTTGGTAGATGAGGGGGAGGTGTTTGGCAATCTACAAACTGCGCAGTAGATTCGCTGCTGTTGCTACCTCGCTTTCCTGCGCCTATTGCCTGCTCTTTGTGCGTTGCTTCCGTTGACAATTTTGAATCTATATTTCAACGAGTTGATTAAAAGGCATGATTAGTATGGATGTAACTAAATCTACGCTTGCAAATAAATCTACGTTATACTAGAGGAAACAGTAAGCGAAAACTGTGAACAAGAATCAGCGAAATGCTGCTGTGCAGTGATGCATGCTATTATACAGTGCGTGCTGTTATTTTGTACAGTGCATGCAGTGACCTAAGCTACGTCAGTTCTGGCTTGCGCAGCTCGCACTCTGCTATATTCCTAATCATGAATGATAGGCATACATTTATGAAACCTTTGCTTTTCTTCCGTGAAGGTATTGATTGTCACAGAACTTATCATCAATACATACATAATAAATTTGGTCTAGCAAATCGGGAATAATGTGCGTGACACGCATCATGGAGGATTTGTTCAATGTGATATTGTAATCTGACTTGTAATTTTATCATTCGAATGAATGAGTGGTGCTAGAGATACTCGCTTTGTTTATTTATAACTCGGGTCGTTGAGTCCACTCCGACATCACGTGATTCAAGGCTCATAAAGTAAATCAAATCTCAGGAGTAATTTCCGTAGACTTTCTTCTCGTCCTAACCTATTTCTGCCCCTTTTAAATGGAAATAATTCTATAATTGATCAAAATAAAAACATAGTTATAAACTTTACGTAATAAGTTAACTAGTAACAATAATAATAAATTACCAATTTATTATTTACACCTAGAATTAACAAACATTTTTAGCTGGTGAGGTGTATTATTTTATTATTACTATCTTAAAATCCAATCGTGTTCTAGTTCTGAGCCTACAATTATTTAGTTTATTTTTTTTTGCAGAGCTCGACACGCACGATGTTCCAGTGCACGTGGCCGGACTGTCGGGAACTTGCTGAGTCATGCTCGGCAATCGAGAGCCACATCCGCGTTACTCATTTGGGGTGAGTGTGCTAAAGTGTACTCACGACGTACTCGTGATGTACTCGTGACGTACTCACGACGTACTCGTGATGTACTCACGACGTACTCGTGATGTACTCATGACGTATTCGTGATGTACTCACGACGTATTCGTGATGTACTCACGACGTACTCGTGATGTACTCATGACGTACTCGTGATGTACTCACCACGTAATCACAGTTCTCTCACAATGTATAATCAGGATGGGCTCATTATAATGGGTAAAATCCATTACCAATTATTGATTTCTCCAATTTTAATCATTGAATTGATAAGAATAGGTAAATACATTAGCTTTGTTTTTCTTATCGTTTTATTCTTGAATTTTGCTTTTTAATGGGTTATCAGCATTTTGTCATCTTTTTCGCTCTGTTAGCAGACCTGGACAAGTTTTTCATTTCTATTTAATACTCCCATAATATATCAAAATATCCTCGTAATATATCCTCGTTGAAGTAGTTTACTATTGTGGACATAAGAAGAAAGGTTCTTCACAAAAACAATATTGTAGAAAAAGATTTGAATTAATTTCATTGTAGAATGGCGAAAGAGAGTGTAGCGGGTGTTGTTAGTAAATATTAATAAAGGGCATTAATAGATAGTATAATATATGGTATTAATACCATTAATAGATTGTGCAGGTTAAATAGGTTATGGTATAATATAGGTTATAAATATGACTTATTGTACAGTCTGAGCGCTCGACGCCGGAGCCGCAGCCTATCCTCCCTTCACTCGAGTTCAGACTCGGACTCTGAAGACGACCACGAGGAGGACTTCTACTGGACTGAAGTGGAGGTGGCCGTGGCCACTAACGTCGACCCTACCACACTTAACTGCGTCGTTAGTAACCGCCCCCCACAGACATCAGTCATCCACCAGGGCTCTGTAAGCCCAGTTCTGGTGACGACTAACAGCCCTTCTCCACTGAGCTACTCAACGGTTATTTGCTCAGGTCAACAGACAAATATTTCTGCTATGAAGAATCCAGCAATCAAATCTACGAGCATAATAACCATGAGCAATCCGCTCGTCAAGTACACTTTAGGCTCACCCAATGGACAGTCTGCTGCAGCGACCACCCTCCTCACCTTCAGAGCAGACTCCGCCAGCCATGCCAAAGGTACGACAACTGACCTCATGTCACTACTAGGCACACTATAAATGGTCCTGATGTTGCCAGATGTACGATCACTGACATTATGTCTCTACTGGGCAAACTTACAGGTCCTGATGTTGCCAGAGGTATGATCACTTACATTATTTCACTACTAAGATAACTCACTGGTCCTGATGTTGCCAGAAGTACGATCGCTTACTTTGTGTCGCTTCTGATTTAACTGTTAACATTCAGAATTTTTATATAATTGATTCAGCCTTAAGAGTCGCAGTACATCATGTCTGATGAGTATACTCACGTACTATACTTGAACTAGTACAATAGCTGCAAAGCTGCCCACACAGCTAATATAACAGAATGTAACCACTCCAATCACTTCGTAAAGATAACAACGAAGTTGTCTCAACCGCCATGACGAGCGGCAGGCTTAGTTAATGGATATATTAACGAGAATTTAAAAATGAACTGATATACTTTACTTTTTTATGTGTGACTGATCCCATTTTCACCCACAGGAAGCACGCCACTGAGAATCACGTCCCCCGTCTCCCCCTCCCATCACACAGTCATCCACCGCACCCCCGCCTCGTCCCCCTTGGGGTCTGGGGGACCAAGAACCAACCTATCAACCCACCCGTACCTGCAAGGGGGAGGGTGGACGTCCTCTCCCAGAGCCTCACTAAGCAAGTCCCCCAGCGTAGGCCCGTCCACAGTCTCCTCCGTCCTCAAGTTCAGTGGGGGGCAGTACGTGCAGGTATCATCGCCCCCCACCCTCAGCCACATGGACATGGCCCGACCCCCCCACGAAGGTTGGTTACCTTATACCAACATAGTTACCTTGTACCAACATAGTTATAACTTGTACCAACATAGTTATACCTTGTACCAACCTAGTTCCTTATACCGATGAGGGGAGGTTGTATAATGTACCTTGTACCAACATAGTTATACCTTGTACCAACCTAGTTCCTTATACCAACATAGTTACCTTATACCAACACAGTCACCTTAGTATCCTTAGTATTTGTTTGGAACACAGCAGTCCCAGGCCATGATGGATCGCCGCCTCTGTATACCAACAACAATTGTACCAACATAAAATTGTACACTCAAACAAATAACCGAGACGATAAGAATAAGTCCAAATATCCATGCAATTTTTGTCCCTTGTATGGGCCGGGCTGACCTACTTTAGCCCGGTAAAATTGCCCGTTAGTGATACGTTCAAAATGTGTCTCTAATTTGACAATATAATGCATATATTTTTCCGAATGTAGCTGAAGACCAGTTTGATTGCATAAAACTCATGTCATTAAATTCAAATTTTAACATGACAAAAATAACAGGTAATTATAGGAAGAAATGAGAAAAAAATGCAATAGTGAAAGATTATAACTTTTGTCTTGTAAAGTAAGATAACTTAAATAAGATTTTAAGCAACAGCATATTAATTAAAGTATATCCACTCAATAAAGTATATAGTCAATTGTCTGTTAAAAGAATTAAACGAAATTGAAATTGAAAGATGAAAAAAAAGATGAATATTTATGATACAGTCTTGCATGGTATGTCGCTTGTATGAGTATCACGAAATGCGTGGCGTACACGATTGAATACCGATATGAATATCATAATATGAATATTTTATATACCTGACCAGGAATGAACATATGATGCCAGAACATCAATATGGACATTATAACAATCATTACTTTGTGTGCACAGACCCTGAGTATCGTCGCCGCCTCACCGGCAGTTCCCTCTTGTCCAGCTCCTGCGATGGCGCGTCATACCTGGTGGGGGTACAGCCTGGGTCATCGTCTTGCCATTTACTGTATATAGAATTTTATATATACAAATAATAATATAATTTTATATACAATATATAAAATATATAGAATTTTATATTTTATATACAAAAGGCAAGATATCGTCTTGCCTTTTGTATTACTCAATAAATATGGAATTTTATTATAGATAGATATTTGCATTGTCTATTTCAATATTACAAATAGAGAATTTTATTATAAATGTACATTCCCATTCAATATTACAAATATAAAATTTTATTATAGATATATATTTGCATTGTCCATTTCAATATTACCTGAAGATATTGAAAGGATTGAATTAGATTCATTCCTATTGATACAGTCCGATTAAAACTTGCTTTCGGATTCCATATTCTCCGATTCTATCTTCTTTCTTGATCATTTTAAACTTTTATTTACTTATCTAAGATTTCTCCATTTTCTTTATGTATCAAGACACCCCATTTCACCCCTGCACCTCTATTTCCTACTTCACCCCTACACCACCACCTCATTTCTACCTCTATTTCCCACTTCACCCCTACACCACCACTTCATCTCCACCTCTATTTCCCACTTCACCCCTACACCACCACCTCATTTCTACCTCTATTTCCAACTTCACCCCTACACCACCACATCTATTTCCCACTTCACCCCTACACCACCACCTCATTTCTACCTCTATTTCTCACTTCACCCCTACACCACCACCTCATCTCTACATCTATTTCCCACTTCACCCCTACACCACCGCCTCATCTCCACCTCTATTTCCCACTTCACCCCTACACCACCACCTCTATTTCCCACTTCACCCCTACAGCACCACATCTATTTCACACTTCACCCCTACAGCACCACCTCTATTTCCCACTTCACCCCTACACCCCCACCTCATCTCTACCTCTATTTCCCACTTCACCCCTGCACCCCCACTGACTCACCCCTCGTCCCGCAGACGTGCAGCAACGAGGCGCTGGGGGCGGGGGGCGGCAAGGTTCGCGTGACGTCATCACCCAAGGCGTCCCCAGGGCGAGGCGGCAAGCGGGGCGGCGAGAGCAAGAAATGTCGTAAATATTACGGCATGGAACAGAAGAACGAATGGTGCACGCAGTGCAGGTGGAAAAAAGCGTGCAGCCGCTTCGTGAACAGTTCGTAAGCGTGCAGCCGCTTCGTGAACAGTTCGTAAGCGTGCAGCCGCTTCGTGAAAAGTTCGTTGAACAGTTCGTAAGCGTGCAGCCGCTTCGTGACACAGTTCGTAAGCGTGCAGCCGCTTCGTGAACAGTTCGTTGAACAGTTCGTAAGCGTGCAGCCGCTTCGTGACACAGTTCGTAAGCGTGCAGCCGCTTCGTGACACAGTTCGTAAGCGTGCACTTGTTTCGTGAAGAGTTCGTGCGCCTCTGCGAGGAGCCACGTTGAGGTCATTGAGGGCGATCTAACTAATCGATTGCTTACGTAGCGGGACGCAATCGACAGTTCCATCTAAAGTCTAGCTATGAAGCATCAATTACCCACCCAAAATCCTCGGATGCTCCACTGATAATCATCTAATGATCCAGTGATAATCCTACTTTCCACTGATAATCCTACAATAATCCACTGGTGAATCACCGATGATCCGCTACCCGCCGATGATCCGATGATAATCCTCCGATGATGTTCAGTATGGGACCAGAGCAGACGTCGAGATGCTGATTGTAAAAAAGATGCATACAAAATATTTCGATATTCTGAGATGTTCACGAGCGCCCACATGCATTACAATAACCAGCTGCTAGGACCAGCTGTGGGACTAAAGCATATAATCTTCTACACAAATCATTGAAGAACCTCCCAAGATATGACTACAAGCAGAAAAAGGATCGTAAATCAGGAAATAATGTAAGTGTCAGCGAATCGATATTAATAATTAAATCAGTTGGTTGTTCTTCCTCAAGATGTCTTTCGACGAAACTGCGTAATATAAATAATGTCCTATTTCATGAAGCAACCGAATAAATCGGCAAATCGAGCTACAAACGACCGCTGAATTGAGATGGAAATGCAATGAGTGGTTCTAGCGATGGAGTGATACTGGTACCTTGAGGCTTGATTTGAAAATGAATGAATTTGTTCTGAGAATGAAATTCTCTGACGAACACGAATCTGTAGAGTCGATTGGGGTAAATTACATGTAAATCATCCTCTTGTGATGAATGATATAAATAATTGTCAAATGATGATTAAGAAGGATTGCAAGCAAGGAATAAAGGTAATGACCGACCATTACGTGAAGGCTTCGGACGACGAACTGCGATGGCTTTGTGTTTTTATTGTTCTCTTGATGTGATGGAATAACTGCCAGATTATTTTGAGTGATGAAAGAACTTGATAATTCTGAGTGGTGAAATAACTGCCTGCTTATCTTAGTCATCCAGCGGTGCAGGCGAAGAGACGATGAGCGAGTGTGCGGCAGACGAGCGATGATGAGGTCGGCGAAATGGGAACACTGCCTGGAAACTATGCATTGCCAATATCCTGGAAATTATAATGAAAGTAAGAGTTAGATTTCCAAACACGTGGAAACAAGAACGCTGACTTGAGCTTACTTCAACGAAAACCCAGAGAAAGTGAAACAAATTTTAATAGGAGCATTCAAAAAGTGGATTTATTTAAGAAAAAAAATTCGTGTCAAGTTAAGGTGCTCGTGAAATCCATAATTAAATCATTTATTTACCGAGTTATATTTCTATGTTTAATAATTATTCTAACATTCTACGTTTTACTCACGTGATTTAAGTTGATATCGTAAAAGATTCTATATTATTAGCGACAACAATATAGGGCGTGTGAGGCTCGCGTGCAAGATATCTTTAATTAAAACTCACGTGCATGTGCAACAAGTGTTTCTGGGACCCCTACACTCAGAGATATAAGTGAGATTTGGTCTAAATAGCCTATTTTTTGTCACTATTTGTATAATTTGATAATATGACCCATTAATCTTTCTGAGTTATTGCTAAGCGCGAGGAAACATTTCACGAATAATATTGGACAAACATATCATGAAGCTGCATCGCTGCATTGCGTTATATGCAATAGTAATTTTTAAATTAATTTTGATCCATTATATTACGTTCTATTTGAATTAAATAACTATCTCTTCGTTGACGGTTCTTCAGAAAATTATTCTCTTATGAAATAGCGTCGAGGAAACATATTTTATTGATAATTATGTTATGCTGCGTGTATAAGAATATTTATTGCGGTCAGAATTAGAAATGATCTTTTCTTTACTAAGTATCTGTATACTTTGTGAACACGGTTAGTTATTGTGTTGCAAGCTGAAACCTTTTATCCTACCCATGTTTGATTTCTTCACAGTTTTGAATCATTTAAAAAGCAATCGGGCAAAGTTTTTTTTACAGAAGTAGGGTGACAGAAACGATTGTTCATCCTATTTGAATGACACACTAAACCTTCCAGCGATAATCCAGATCTTGCAATACAATTTTTAAATGAACATTTGTACTGTCATTCTAACGACGTGGTTCTGCTGATTCTAGTATTTTCATACACATCAATTTCATCTACTTCCTATCGGATCCCTAATTTTTTACGATTTTTGCTTAAAAAATTTTCATGTATAAGTGTAGGGTATTTTACGGAACCAAAATGAACATGTTATGATAATTTTTCCATGCCTATGAGAGGAAGCGTCTGAAGGAGAGATCTCAACCGGGAAACGACTGCCACGAGTAGAGTAGAGAAATTTATCTTAATTTACACTCCGCTATATTTAGCGAATTATGTATATAATTTGCTATATTCAGCTAATTATATAAATAAATAGCTATACTTAGCTAGTTATATAGATAATTAGCTATATTAAGCTTAATTATATAAATAAATAGCTATATTTTGCTAATTATGTTGCTAATTAGCTATTTTAAGCCAGAGATTACAGCGCAGCAGCTTTTATGTTATGTAGAGCCAATTTATGATTAGGATTACGCATGAGATTTTATTCTTTTTAGCGCCGATATTATTCAATGGATTTTTATAGTAAATCCTGCGTTATTTTTAATTTTAGTACATGACATTGCGCCTCTAGCTTGCTTCTTGATCTATATGTTTGTGATTGTTCTTTAAATGATTCGCGTTTCATCCGAATTCAATTTCCGTTGACGAAAATTACGAAAACTTATGTTAACGAATATAATATCATGCCATAATATTTTTACATGAAATTTTTTGTTGCATTTTCTGTCCATTCTTCAGTTTGCAGACGCTTCTGAAAGTGACTATTTTATCATTATATAAAATTTTTTATATTAATGAGCAATAATAAATTATGTCAATTCACTCAAACGTTAATTTTACTCAATTTATTTATACGCCTTCCGTATTCGATAAATATTCTTTACGACAGGAATATTTAAATTTCATTGTAAAACGACATTTTTTTACCTCTATTCGCGCACGAACTCTTTTTACGTAGCTGGTTATCCTAGATACCACTTATTTGTACTCATACACATTCATTCAGTCGGGTGCAGTGGGTGAAATTTAATGTACATATGTTATATGAGGACTAAATTCGTTATCTATTCTTATGGCTAATGACTTCTATGTCTGACTGGTGGTATTTATTTGGATTATTAATCTTTATGTTATGTGTTTAGTTGATTCGCTAAGGGGAATTATTGGATGTAGGAAGGAACTAATGAATAGGATATGAAAAATAAATTGAATGTTAACCTATAGGTAATCAGGCATGCGCATTGCTCTGGGATGACAAATCTGAGATGTGTTACTCTTCATAGGAAAGGAAATTAATAAGGCTTAAACTTTTTTATGCATTTAGACTTCTAGCTTATTGTATTAAATTGGCTGATTTAACAAGTAATTGAGTTCGAATTTTCAATGGGTTGTTATCGAAGATGAAGTAATGTCGATTCGCTTTTCAATCATTTCCTATTAAGAGCAGATATGCTTCAGCAATTTTGAAGTTCAATCTTGGAATCTGTCTGGGGAATGGAATCTGTCTGTGTAAATGTCAACACAAATAATAGGTCCATCAGGACATAAATCGTCGTTACGATGTACTTGTAATACACGTCTACCGAGCCAGCTATGATGTTGGTTTCGTTACATAGTACGATTTGATAGCACAAATCGAAAAACTGGGTGATCTATTTGTTTTGACCTTCATTATTACGCTGCACGTCAGAAACATCTTTTATGACGAGCTAGTTCAATGCAAGCGTTTTGCATAAAACTTTTGCAGGGTTGCAGAGGTTGCACTTGAGGTTGTACTTACGGTTGCACATGAGTGTATCTTACCCCAGATGACGAGCGAAACACGAGCATTATTTCTTTTCAAGCTTATTGTGCAAATATTGTTCCGAATTCTTTTCCATGTTCCTTTGATAAGAATTAAGTCGAAGTTTTCTCCTATTTACACGTGACAGTCCGCAAAATATTTTTAATACTTACGTTTAAATATTTCGAAATCGTTAAGACGCAGGTTAAGGTAAATAGTTCACCCGGTCTTTCGACCCAATTTCTTGTCTGGAACTCGTAAAGACTTGAGAGTTTAGGTAATCTAGGTATAGCTAATTGTACGGTGTTGTAGGAATAGAGTTGCAATGTATGAGTGTATCGTTTAGTTCGAGCATAGTTCATTATTTAGGGAAATAAATGTTGGTTATATGCAACTAAGTTTCACGAGTTATCGAGGTGTTATAGAACATGCAAAGTTGCGGCATGTTTTACAACAGCTGGGCAATAGTACGTGTTAAGCGCATGTTCAGGACATGTCCAATCCTGATAACGGTCAAATAGAGCCCCGATCCGGGGAATGAAGCATTTAGTTTCGGCATGTGTACGGACTCTGTACAATCATATTGAACTTTGACAACTTGCGCCAGAACCTCAGTGCTAAGCAGACCTGATACCCTAGCTTTGCAATGAAAAGCTATGGTAGCGTTATTATGAAGAGCGTTACACTGAATTGGTTAACGCAGTAAGCTTGGTTAGAACAAAGGTAACCTGCACTTCGGCACATGTACACTACAACTGAACAATGTAGCATAGATTTTGCGCCAAAGAAAGAATTTTATTGCGGGATTTGTAAGACTGAGGTTTTGGATGTAATGGTTTAGTTAAAAGCCAGCAATTCATATGGCGCAAAATCGAAATAAGCTGAAGTGTCGCATCTTATGTTGCAATTTAATCATTTGAATGTTCGTTTCATTGTACTTATTCAACGAAAACATTGTTAATGCATCGCATTAAAAAATTTAGCTATACCCTGAACGCAATTTAATTTTTCAAATCGCGCCATGTAACTGGTTTAACTCTCACCTTAGTTATATGAACTAGCGACATCACTCTAAATTCCGCAATTTTGTAGAAGAATATATAGCAACAAACCAAAATGAAGACAAATTTCAATATATTTAAGCGCCGGCAAATTTCCCGAACTTAAGTTTAGTGCACCTTAAAGACTTTGGATATAGGTTGCCATAGCCATATGCTGCAATGATGCAGCGTCGTGATCTTTATGTTCAAATATTCTCATCATGCAGTTTTAAGATGATTGCTGCCATTCTGTCCGGGTCCGCAGCGTCAGTTTCATATTGTGGCTGTGAGAGTAGAAGCAAAAATTTAATAATTTGGTACGCAATTATCATTATTGGAAATTCATTCCGCTGTTGATATATTGTCCCCAGCTTCTGGTTAAAAGGCACCCGTCATCACATTTTCATAATGTCGAGTTGTTTTTCGACAAACATAATATATGAATTTTGTCAATAATTTGAGTACTATTTTTACTTAGGAATAACTACCCAGTTCTTAAGCAAGCTCATTTGCATGAATTAAAATCACAACCAGTGCCATTTTGATCCATCGAATTAATGATTCACTGTTGTCCAGGGGCCATACTTTCAAAACTCGCTAAGTGAACGTAAGTACTTACGCTCTATTTTCTTGTCTATGATTGGTGGATTTTGCTGGAAAGGCCATCAACGATTGGCGGTTGAACTTACGATCACTTATATTTTTTTTGAAAGTATAGGCCCAGGATTGAAACGCGGCCAGGTTCCCGAATGTCTAGACGGGCTAGTGACCAACCTCATGTTACCAAACTCTGACGAGTGTATAATGTTATTGTCGCAGGGCCTGGCGACTGCGATAGTGTCGAAAGCGGCTTGTAGGTCGTTAGGTTTGTTCAGTTAGTCAAGTTGCGTCTTATGGCCTATTCTCATACCTATCGTTTAATTGTCAAGATCATCTGCTACGTATTGTCTGAACTGTACGCATCTACATTAACGACTTTTTTAGGACTTGTAACTTGGTACAGATAACGACCACGGAGTAGTAATGATAATGAATGAATAGAACTTATTGAAGTTCTTAGGAGTGTAGATAGAACTTAATGAAATAGAATTCAATGAATAATTGGGATTAATATTCTCGATGAGGCTACTATGTTCCAAAGACACAACAACGCAACCGTGGGATCTCATCCATGCAAGTGTCCTGTAACTTGGATTTTTAACTTCGTACACTAACGTTCTTAGTTGGAATTTGCAATGTTCAGGCAAACCAGTCTTTCTATAGATTCTTGTAAATATTATGAAATAAAGTACTAACATGTAAACGTTTTGGTAAAACTCATGCGCTCACGTCAGAAATACGTTGTAGTTACAACAGACCGATCAGAGAACATTATTTTATGATATTACGAGTTTTGCCATAAAAAACGTACAATTCTGCCGGCTTCATTAATGCTTAGAATTTCATTGCCGTAAAAATAAGATGAAATCTAATTTTGTCCTTTGAAATTTCAGTTAGGAAATTGACAACTTTCCCTAACTTGAACGTACGAAAAGTTGTAAAGCGTTGTCGTGTTTCTACCGATGCAAAGTTTATTGCTCACTCATGAACTTTGTGCAAGTTCATTTTTTGGTACAATTTTATTCTAGTTAACTATAGGGTAGCAGACATAATCAAAGCTCGGGAGTGTGGGAAAAGTTTGCGACGGTTGTTGGAAAATGCTGGTACGATGTATTGAAATTTATATCATTTACGAATTATTTTTTATATTGATTAATTATTACTGATTATTAGATTATGTGA